TATGTCTGCACTATGTTTGTACTTTCTTCTACACTGGAAGCTCCTGTCGTCAAGTCAAATTCCTTGTGTGTGTAAACATACTTGGTAATAAAGCTCTTCTGATTCTGATTCAGATATAAGCCAAACAACAGAAGAGGAAGGATAGTGAATAGTGAGAAAGGCTGATAGTTATAATATCCGAGTTCATATGACTACTGGCTCTCCTCCGCTTTTAATCATCTGGTTGACACTTTCACACCATCTCTAAACTTTCCAGTCCAATTCCATTTACTAATTTGGAAAATGGAAGGTGCCTGCTATAAATAAATCAACAGTGTCCTAAAAGTGCTTGCCAGCATCTCTGAGAGGGGGAGCTTCCCAGAGCTGCTCACCATCTGCCAGATCACTCCCTCCCCTTTCTCATAATCTCCTTTAAAACTGACCAGGGACCCGCAAGTGAAACCACATGCAAAAAGCCTTACGAGTGTAACTAAATATATTTCTTGCATTAAAACACAATTATGCACTTCTTTATTGCATGTCTTTAATCGTCTTCTCGGGTGTGCAAAGGCGGAGACCTCCATCCACCTCCCGCAGAGAAGACCAGCACGACTGCTGTAAAACACCAGTTTACCTTTAATCGCGTTGATCACATTGTTCCCGTCCTTAATGACATCCTTTAGGAACTTGTTGGTTTTTTCCAGCTCGTTTTCGTAGCATTTCAATCTCTCTCTGAAATCCGGACTGTCGGAGTAACAATCGCTGAACTCTAGTGGAGGATGCCCCATTCTCACCCTCGGACCGATCAATGAAGAGAACCGGCCTTTTGTTGTCAGTCAAGTACGCAAACCACGACAAACGTGCCTTTTGATCACTCGGCGGTATTAATCAAGTGGATTTCGATTAATAGGCTTCGATAAAGTTCCCCATTTTTGACATACTGGATGAGATGCAGTTGTAAATAAAACAACTAACGTTATAATCCAGCGCTCCAGTAGTGACTGTCTCCGTGTGCACGCGGTATTGCTAATTCAGTCGAGCAATTCGAGTGGCAAAGTAAAATTTAAAAGTGCTGATAAAGAAAGTATTTGTATATCAATACTTTTCCTTGTTTTGGGAGCGGAGGGGACTGACAAATGCGGGCAGGGCTACATACTGAGTACACCCACATCATTGGGCGGCAAAATGTCACTAGTTAGTAGCTAGGGAATGTTGTTTTTATGGGACGTACCGTTTCCTTCCTCTGGGGGCGCTTGAGGGTTCACAAAAGGAAATTCTCCATGGAGTTGCATTGAAATGTAAGGGTGCATTTCGTTTCACTGCACTCAATATATAGACTGGAAAGTATAACCGTTTAAATCTATTATTTGAAACTGTTGGTACCTCAAATACAAATGGAAACGTGCGCCTAGAAATTATATTAAATTGTTAATAAAGGATGATGATATTCAGCAATCATAAACGACTATGATTGGTTTATCCTGAGCAGCGCTTTGAAAAGTAACACTTTTAACGTGACATGCCGCTAACGTGGCACGTCAACAGTGATCTAGACAAAAACATTGGACCCGAAACAGTGAAAGTGGGACATTTAAATAGCCAATGCGTTGGAATATACAGTTAATAGTTTAAATAAAATAATTATTATGTAGATACACCGTGCTTGCCCAATTATTGACAACATCCGGGCCACTAAGCCTCATACCTCAGAGTCAAGCTAGTTCTCATTCTACCCGCATTTTGTATTTCTAAACCCACAATGACTCCGACCCTTAAAGAGGCCGACGCTCTTATAGATTTGAATGCATGTTTCATTGTGATAATATGATTTCTAGGCTCTGAGCAGCTAAAACAGGTGTGTCAAACTCAATTCCTGGAGGGCCGGAGCCCTGCAGAGTTTAGATTCAACCCTAATTAAACACACCTGATCCAACTAATCAAATCCTTCAGGCTTATGTGAAAACGACATGGTATGTGTGTTGGAGCAGGGTTGGAAGTTGGAACAAAACTCTGCAGGGCTCCGGCCCTCCAGGAATTGAGTTTGACACCCCTGAGCTAAAACATAGGGCATAGTGTACGTTAAGGACATTTACAACCTTTAACGTGTCCATTTAACTACTAATAAAATATGTGAACTTTACAACTGACACATTATTAATCAAATATAACAATGACTGAGCCGAATTTATAAATTCAAGAGCTGAGAGGCTATTTCAGAGTAACTAATACAAAAATTTCGTTTAGTTAGAATTTATGATAATAATATCAATAATAATACTGATGATAATAATAATAATTATTATTATTATTATATTTTTTTATTATTATTGTCATTATTATATTTTTTATTTTATCATTATTATTATTATTATTATTATTATTATTATTATTATTATCCGCTCAGTGGCATGTTGGCGTTTTTGACGTCATACGTCCGATGACGTACCCGTATCCGTGAAGATGGCGGAAGTGGAGGAGTCTAGCAAGCCTTTGGTAAGGGACAAAACATGCTTTTAAACGCTTAAACATCTTTAAAACACGTTGTCAGCTTTTTCATGGAGTTTTTGTTTTTGTCTGTATGGTTACCGATCCTGAATGGAAGCTGGAGAATTTGTAAATGCGTCAGTAAAGCTCTGTAATACATGTAAACGCAGATTCTCAGCTCTAAAGAACATTTACTACCTTAAAAGAGTGTTTAAAACATCTCCCAAATGTCCGTATTGACAGATTTGCTGTTTTCTAGTGGAAAACAGGAGTAAGTTACGCGTTTTATCGCGCAGTCTTACCAAACTATGTAAACAGTGACAGTGGAAAATCATTCTCTCTCTCTCCCTATGCAAATATTTCCACATAGTGAGGTAGATATGTGGGGGCGTGTTAGAACAAGCCGTTTTAGGGGGGCGTGGCAGAGTCTTAACTTTGATAAAGAATATCTCTTTGGTTTTGAGACTTTAGTCTTTGCAACTTCAGGGATCTTATCTATGCACAATCAGCTTGTAACACTCCAAAGAGAAAGGAAAACTTGAAATCGCATCATATGACCCCTTTAAGTGTTTATTTATTCGCTGTGTTAGTGCAGACATTTTAATTATGAGAGTCGCCCCAGTCTAAAATGTTAGTTATTTGTTAATTTAACGATAGGAATAATCGCGACAGAGATATGTTTACATTTTTATATTCCTTATATATCCACTAGATTCAGGTTATGTTGTAATATAGGCTTGATATGACGTTTCGGTGCATGTCAGTATGTTTCGAAGAGTTAAAAAGTTAACCTTGCTATCCCTTTATGAATATTTGTGAAAATGTGATTTTGTCTACATATATCTCAGTGATTGATAAACTTTGGGCTCCTCCCTGATATACGTTATATCATTTAAAACCTTAAAGTCTCAGTGTGACAAACAGCAGGCACATTTTTAACGACACCGGGCAGAGAGAGCATGAGGAACAGTCAGGAACACTTCTGTCTCGCCTGTTTAGGTATCCTTTTTCAGGACAAAGTTTAAAATAGTGTACAAATTATCATCAGTATATAACCTGAAACAGTCTCACTTTCACCATTCAGTAATTTGCTTGCCTGTTGTTTTATTCTTGTTTGCCTGCCTCTTCAGCTAAATGAGCTGACTGTTCAGTTGCTATAGTAACTGTCTCTTATTGTGAAGAAAACAGAAACACTATTACAAATGACGTTAATGTTAATATTGAGTTAATTCAATGTTAGCGCTTTTAGTTAATCATAATTATATTTATTTACCTTGTTTAAGAAGACAATCAACACAGTCCACAGACCAGTGGACCACATTTTTAGAATCACTGGCATAGATGAATGTGAACGGCATGCAAAGTGTTCTGGGTCTCTGGATTTGCCATAAATGATTTACACAGTCATTCTTCATGTCACAGTTTGCGGGTTTGTCTGACATCTCAATCTCGGAGGACATTCCAGTGGAGGGAGATATATCTGTCCCGGTGGGCTCACAGAACCCTGACGATGATTTCTCAACACTGGATGAGCCTGTCAAAGACACTATTGTAAGTGAAAACTTTTGTTACAGGGGAGTGATCGATATATTGGCAAAAATGAAGAGATAATGCACATTTGTTCAAATGTTTAGTGTGGATATTTATAATGAGGGAACAGATTCTGAGTGCACCAGTGTTGTTATTGTTCAATGAAACTAAACTAGTCAAAGTTATTGAAATAAAGCTGAAATAAAAAATCTAAATATTAGATGAAATGCGTACATGAAAATTAGAAATGTTGTCTTGGCAACTAACTGAAATAAATATGTTTAAGTTGAAGTACTAAAATCACTAAAACTGAAATAAAAGAAATATTTTAAAGAAATGACAAAAGCACACAACAAATACTAAAACTTAAAATAAACTAAAATGAAAACTAAATATGAAAAGGCTAATTCAACCTATTAATAAATATCATAATAGTATATAATAATACTAAAATAACACTGGATTGCACATTTAACAGTACTTCTGTCTGAGTTTAAGCAGCGTTTCTTACTATCTCTTTGCTCTGTTTGTGGGTCTCAGCTGAGGGATCTGAGAGCCGTTGGGCAGAAGTTTGTCCATGTGTTGTACCCCAAGAAAAGTTCTGCACTACTCAAAGACTGTGAGTCTATCATTTACATTTCATCAGTCGCTGATGACACATTATCAATCGCAGATTCCATAAAAAATGTGGACTATATATTATCACCTATTATTAAAAATGCTAAATGTTCTAATAAAGAGCATGTATGTGTTCTTTTTAGGGGACTTATGGGGACCTCTCCTCCTCTGTGTCACTCTGGCCTTGTGAGTATTAACGCTGTCAGATCAGTCCCAGTCAGAACTATTGTCACTATGCAGCAAATATAATATATTTATAATATTGTCTATACTAGAATGCTGCAGGGTGGTTCTGCCGACAGTGGGGAGGATGGCAGGCCACAGTTTGCAGAAGTCTTTGTCATCATCTGGTTCGGTTCTGTAATCATAACCCTTAACTCCAAACTCCTGGGAGGAACAATGTGAGTAAACAGTCAGATTTTCATTTATACTAATTTGCTTGCATAAAAGTGAGCACCTCAAATCTTCATTTTGGAGGAAGTGTTGAGTTAATTTGGTTTTCATGTTGTCAGTTTATTTAGTCGGTAACTGAATATGCACATTAACAGGGTTTCCGCGGGTCCTTAAAAAGTCTTAAATTTGATTGCATCAAATTTAAGGCCATAAAAAGTCTTAAATGGTACAAGAAAGTCTTAATTATGATTTCAGGAGGTCTTAAATTTGGGGATGGAAAGACAGGAATTGCGATACAGCTTAATGTGACGATTAAACTTCAAAGGGCTTTGATTTCATTGCATGAGTGCTGCACGTTTCAAATTCTGCTGCTTTGTGTTCTGCCATTACCCAGGAAACCGCTATATTTCTGCTGTTCCGAAAAGGTCTTAAATTTGAGCTTAAAAATCTTGCAGATACCCTGATTAAAAAGAAGTGTCTTAAGCCGAACCAAATGGTTGCCTGTGATTTAGCAGCTGTACCTACCAATGGGAAGTTGTTTTCATTGCTAGAGGTAGAAAAGAGTGCTTTATTTCAGTGTAATGGGAAAGCAGGTGCAGCAGAATTGACCATTTTATGCCACTGACCACTGAGGGAACAGAGTGGGGGTGATAGTAATTGTTTCTTTTAGCCCCAGAGACCCAAGCATTGATATTCCATTTTTTTCACACTTAAATATGCCTTTAGAAAGCCATTAGTCATAAAAACCAATTAGTTTAGAAAAAGTTGTATCCGGTATAATTAAAAAATTGCAACACTGGGAATTTAGGGTTGCAAAATTTCACCAGTTTTTGATACGGTAAGTGAAAGTTCTGACTTCCCAACACAATTCAGCTCACAAATAGATTTTATCACTTAAATACTTTAATAAATGTTCATATAAAATCATATTTAAAGTATAACCAATAATTTAAATATGCCTTCATTTTTGAGAACAATAGAAAAATGTTTGACCCCCCTAATGCCCAGCTTGTTCAAAATTTCAAGACATGGACAAACAGAAATATATATATATATTATTATTATTATTATTTTTTTAAATAAGATATTGATATCTGATGCTTAAAACTGTGGCACTTAATATGCAAATCTTGTCTCACAAAAAGAGTTTTAACTGTGATAAATTTCAGATTGTCAGACTT